ATTAAGAAATAAATTGCTTTAGTTCTTTGTAAAAACTTATCAAGAGTAGTGTGAACAGTGCTTGCCTTCTTCTATAACTTCTGCTACAGAGTAAGCATCTTTTGGTGAATGTCATACTGCTTGCAAGGTTGGATCATTTAAAATTAAATATAGGTAAGGCTTGGCGGGCATGGCGGCTAAGCCTGTAATCCTAGGGCATGATATAGAATATAGATATAGATATTTATAAATTCAAGTGTCTATAGAAACTCATAAATGATAAAATACCAAAACTGTAGCTCTCTGGCAGTAAGAGAGTTTAAAAAGTTCAAGGAAATAGGCAGAGAAACTGCAAGGAATGACATGGGGGCAGAAATTATGTGTTGTCGATACAGGAAATTTGATATTGAAAAGCATTCACGTTGGCAAAATGGGACTTGATTGGGGTCACTCTCAATGTGAGAGTAACTTTTCACTTATTCATGCTGCCTGGCTAGGCCTGGCCTGTCGGGGTGCGGGTGGTGGCGGCCCCAGCCCCATGTCCCTGCAGCATCCGGCCAAGGACACGCTGGCAGTGACCGCAAGGGTGACTCGTTTTCAAAGGACTTGGCTAGGGCTGGAGGAGGAGGAAGAGGAAGGGTCAGTGGGGCGGCAGGGCCAGCAGGGGCTGTGGCCTGGGGTGGGGGCCGCTGACCCCTCCAAGTCCATTGCTTTCTATTTTTTTATAGTAGAGATGGGGTCTCGCTCAGGCTGGTTTTGAACTCCTGACCTTGAGCAATCCGCCCACTTCGGCCTCCCAGAGTGTAATCTAATTCTCATCAACTGCTACTTCAGCACAATCTCCCCTTTTGAAAAAACTCATTTTCCCATTGATACAGAATATGTACTAAACTAAAATACAACGAGACAAATATTATAATATAGAAATGAGCCGGGCGAGGTGGCTCACGCCTGCAATCCCAGCACTCTGGGAGGCCGAGGCGGGGAGACAGAGTCTCACTTTGTTGCCCAGGCTAGAGTGAGTACCGTGGCATCAGCCTAGCTACAGCAACCTCAAACTCCTGGCTCAAGCGATCCTCCTGCCTCAACCTCCCAAGTAGCTGGGACTACAGGCATGCCACCACCATGCCCGCTAATTTTTTCTATATATATTATTGGCCAATTAATTTCTTTCTATTTATAGTAGAGATGGGGGTCTTGCGCTCTGCTCAGGCTGGTTTGAACTCCCGACCTCAAGCAATCCACCTGCCTCCGGCCTCCCAGAGTGCTAGGATTACAGGCGTGAGCCACCGCGCCCAGCCTCTTATCAGTTTTTGACAACAGTGAATTGTGTTTCTGTTTGAAGTGGAATTTGTGAAGAGTTGCACAGCTCCACAGTAATTTTTAATTGTCTGCTTAACAGCCCATCATGTCAAAGAAGACCAAGACAACACCAAGGAAAAAAACAGATTTTTTTAATGAGGATGGAAAATTGTAATATTATCTTGTTTCTGTTACAGATGATTGCTGCTTTGGGATACTACAATATCAACATTAAAGAAATTCAATGTTCATCAACATTATAATACTCATAAGGACCACAAATATTTTAATTAGAGGAGAGTGTGAAAGTTTGTATTGCAGAAATAAAAGATGAAAAGCAAAAGCAAACACAATTCTTTCAAGCAGCAATAAGACTCTGGAAATAATGTCACTGAAGCAACTTATAAAGTTGCTTACATACTCGGAGGGAAAAAGAAGCCCTTCAGTGATGTAGAAATTGTGAAAGAATGTATTGTTTCAAGTCGTAGACTAAGACCCGCATAACATTTCAAAGTACCAAATACTGCTCTTTGAAGGAGAAATAACTGTCACAGCATGAATTACCCCTCAACTTAACAGAACAACCATGCAATACTTCCAAAAGGAAAACATATATTATTCAATCACTTGATGAATCAACTGATACTACTGACTTGGCACAAGGTTTTACACTTTATTCAGATCAGAAGATTTTCTTTGCTACAAAGAGTTACTCGCTTTGGGCACTTTGTGGCAGCAACACAGGGAATAGAGATATCTTCAACAACTTTCAAGATAAATGTGAAGTTGGACTGAATTTGGTAAATTTAGTGAGTGTATGTACAGATGATGCACCTTCCATGACAGGAAAACATGAAGGGTTCATTGCACAGATAAAGTATTAACAGATCCAGATGCTCTCATTTCTTTCCATTGTATTTCCATCAGCAGAATATCTGTGCTAAAGCTACTATTTTAAGTGACATTTTACAACAAGTTATAAGTATTGTTAGCTATATCCCTGCAATTGTAATACAGCATCATCACTTTCTTAACATGCTGAAGTTGAGCTATGAGGTATTCAGTGTGGATTTGCCATATCATTCTAAAGTGTGTTGACTATTGCAGGACAGGTGTTAGCCAAAATTTTTATCTCTGCAAGAACAGATAGTTAAATTATGAAGAACATAATCAGCAATGTGAATTATTGAAGGAATATTTCTATAGGAAAGCAACATTCTATGTGATATGTCAAATCAAAACAATTGGAATATTTCTTTGCAAGGTAAAACTAAGTCTACATATGATATATGTCCAAAAGAAAAATCTCAGCATTTGAAAGAAGTTATCTTTTTCAAAACACTTCTTCTAAGGAAATTGGATGAACATTTTCCTCAGTTAGCAAAGGTCACTGATGAGCATGGATGACAATATTGTGAATCATTTGAAGAACACGCAGCTGTTAGAGACCTATTAATTAAAGAATATAATAAAGTTTCACTGACTTTGGGAATCACCACATCACACTCATATTAGCATTAAGCCTCACGTGTTTGATCTTACCAAGCACCTAAAGAACTACAGATGGAATTGACTGAGCTCTCAGTAGATGACATTTAATGGGGTTAATAGTAGATGACAATATTTAATTGTTTAAGTCAAGAAGATCCAATTGAAATACAAAAAAAAATGCAATAGAATACCCACTCCTTTGCAACATGCCCAAAAGTGATTTCTTGCTTTTCAACCACTTATTGCTGTGAATCTACATTCTCCTACCTAACCCAAATCAAGACACCCTTAGGGTCACAAATGACTAATACCCACCTACAGGATCAACTGAAACTGGGGCCTCCATGCTGCAACCAAATATTCAAATGCTTTCCAACAAAAATCAGACACAAGAAAGTCATTAAGAAGTTAGTTAATTAAAATTAACAAATAGTTTCATTTTTTGAAATTGTTAAGTACATAATAGATTTTTACAAAATAAGTACATTTTTAACTATATCTAATTGAATTTCATGCATGCAGCCTTATTTGATTACAGCTGAATTAATGTGGCCTTCCAACATGAAAAGGTCCCACCCTGAACTATACTCTTTGCCTCTCAGTCAGAAATTTTAGCAAGCACAACTCATAGATGAAAAATTCCACATGTAAATATATCCTCTTGCTTCTGCTGGAAACAGTAATCCCAGTTATTTAGAGAAACTGGAATGCAATGCTTGTGCTGGTGTGAAATGCAGGGCATAGAGAGGGTTGGGAATGAAACTTTGTTCTTAGAAAGAAAATTGAGCAGCAGTTTCTAGAAAGAAAATCGTTATGAAAACAGAGTTATGGAGACTCACAATTTCCGGACAAGCTTTCAGTTCTAGTACTTAATAGCCCCACCATGGTTTCAGTATCCTAAAATAGGATTGCTAATTATGTGGAGTTACATTCATTTAAATCTCACGTTGTCATTATAAATCCCCCAAAAATGCATCAATATTATCCTTATGAATTACTATGAAACTGATTGAATCTTGAAGTTTTCTTTCACAGCTACTCATCTAGGTAAGGTGTGTGTGTTGTATGTGCATGTGTGTTTACATATAAGTCTACAGAAGTGTATGCAATTAGAAGTGTGTATGGAGAAGTAAAGTATCCAGAAATTTAGCTTGAGAAGCAAGTGAAACTGGTAGTTATTTATGATTTAGTAGATAATTTAAATTTCTAAATTTTAAACTTTCAAGGAATATTTATTTTAGACCTTTGATTTGCATTGAATAATTATGACCTGGGTATTTATTAATAAAATCTCTTCAGTTACAAGGTTCCATAAGAAATAGAAGTCATGGCACAAAAAGATTCACAAGTGAACTGACCACTTAAAACTAAGTTCACATTTAATCCCACCTCACAGTCTCACATGACATCTGTCCTGGATAAAAAGTGCTGTACATGGATACAGTATAATAGTCCTCAGTGATCAAAACAAACTACTGATACAAAATATGGATGTCCAAATGATCCAGTGACACTCTACAAAAAAGACACCTGCACTCGAATGTTTATAGCAGCACATTCATAATTGCAAGGCTGTGGAAACAGCCCAAGTGCCCATCAATCCAAGAATGGATTAATAAAATGTGTATATGTATACCATGGAGTACTATTCAGCTCTAAGAACAATGGTGATATAGCACATCTTATATTTTCCTGGTTAGAGCTGGAACCATACTACTAAGTGAAGTATCCCAAGAATGGAAAAACAAGCACCAATTAATTCTCCAGAAAACTGGTATTAACTGACTAGCACCTAAGTGGACACATAGTACTACAGTAATAGGGTATTGGGCAGGTGGGAGGGGGAGGGGGAGGGGGTGGGTATATACATACATAATGAGTGAGATGTGCACCATCTGGGGATGGTCATGATGGAGACTCAGACTTTTGGGGGGACGGGGGAAATGGGCATTTATTGAAACCTTAAAATCTGTACCCCCATAATATGCCAAAATAAAAAAAATATATGGATGAATCTCAAAGGCATTATACTAAGTGAAAGAAGCCAAATGTCAATGACTATGTGAAAAAGAAATCTGATCAATGGTTGATGGGTGGGTAGAGAGAGACTATAAAGAGGCATGAGAGAACTTTTTTGCAGTGGTGGAATATTTTGTCTTGATTATGGTGGTAATTACATGACTATATATATATTTGGCAAAACTAGAACTGTGGCTGATGCGCGTGAGGCCGAGCTTTTTGCCGGAAGGCACCATCTTGGAAGCCGCCTTTGCCGCTTGCGCCCAGTGTAAAACTTCTCAACACTTCTATTACGGAACAATTAGTACTACTTGTAAGGATAACGGGTAGAATTGGCAGAAAACGTTTCGGAGAGAGAAAGATTTCCCTGTGCAGCCTCGTCAGCCACGCCCAGCCCGTCTAGACATCGTCTCTGGAAATAGTGCCACTGTGTGATGATGATGGTAACGGTGGCTTGCGTTTCTTTTCAGGCCCGGGGGTGACGTTTTTCAGATGCGCTGCCAACAGAACGACCTGTGTGAGGGCATCACGCAAGCATGACGTTCTGAAAAGAAGTCTGCAGCAAGAGCCCGGGCCCTGCGCAGCCGCCGACCCGCTACCCTGTCGCCCAGGGCAAGCTGGTGCCAGCGCTCCCAGTGTCGCCTGGATGACATAACGACAGAGTTCTTTAAAACTGTGTCCTCTTTTTACGATTTAACCAAAAACTGTGAGACAGCTTTAATCAGAAAATAGATTGCTTATTGAATAAATACATTAATCAGGAGTTGAGCTAGTCATTTTTTAAAATTTGTAATGCTTTAACAAATGCTGTCACCTGTCAAAGCCACTTTTTATTTTATTTATTTACTTTTGGCAGGGAATCTAAAAGGGTCATGAACTCTGACCCTGAAATCAGACATGCCTGGGTTGCACTCTACTCCAGTAATTCTGCGATCATTGCTGCAAGTTAATTAAGTTGTCTGTTCCTCAATTTTCTTATCTGTAAAATGGGAATAATATTAAAGTTGTTGAGATGTTAGAATTAAATAATTCCTGTTAAGATCTAAGCCCGATGCCTGGAACATAGTAAGAATTTAGTAATGAAGCTATTGGAATTTGTGAAGAGATCCATTTTTAAAAAAAAAACAACAAAGCTACTGGTATCATTATGGAGAATTTTTTACTACATTTAGCAGTTTTGTCAATCAATCTACATTATATATAATTTGGTGCTATCAGATTTGGAATAGATAATAAAAACTAATATTTAGCGAGCATGCCAAATTCTGTGAATGCTCCAAATGCATATGAAGTATTTGGAACATGCCTGTGACAGACCAATTAATATCCCTATTTTATAAACATGGTCACTGGAACACAGAGACTTAAGTAACTTGCTCAAGATCACACCACCACTAAATGGCAGAGCTAGTAGTTTGGGGATTCTGACTCCACAACTGAGCTCTTAATAACTATACCAGGAGTGGGAAACCTACGTCCTTAAGGCTTCTAGGACCTTTAGTGCAGCCTTTTGACTGCATCCAAATTTATAGAACAAATTCTTTTATTTTTACTAATATATTTTTGTCTTTTATATTTTTATTTTATTTTTAAAATGAACATATTTAAAATATCAAAGAATACAACAAGTTTCAACAAAATAATCCTTCCAGATTGACCAGCACAACTGGAACATTAGTAAGCCATAAGGGCTAAATTGACGGGTGCTACACTCATGATTTAGTTCTAACTTCCCCCACCTGACTGGTGCCACTATCACACGAAGCTGGTAGGTGAGAGTTTATGGGGGTCTAGTACACCAGTCTCTTATCAGCTTTTTTTTTTTTTTTTTTTTTTTGAGACAGAGTCTCACTTTGTTGCCCAGGCTAGAGTGAGTGCCGTGGCGTCAGCCTAGCTCACAGCAACCTCAAACTCCTGGGCTCAAGCGATCCTCCTGCCTCAACCTCCCAAGTAGCTGGGACTACAGGCATGCACCACCATGCCCGGCTAATTTTTTCTATATATATATAGTTGGCCAATTAATTTCTTTCTATTTATGTAGAGATGGGGTCTTGCTCTTGCTCAGGCTGTTTTGAACTCCCGACCTCAAGCAATCCACCTGCCTCGGCCTCCCAGAGTGCTAGGATTACAGGCGTGAGCCACCGCGCCCAGCCTCTTATCAGTTTTTGACAACAGTGAATTGTGTTTCTGTTTGAAGTGGAATTTGTGAATAGTTGCACAGCTCCACAGTAATTTTTAATTGTCTGCTTAACAGCCCATCATGTCAAAGAAGACCAAGACAACACCAAAGGAAAAAAACAGATTTTTTTAATGAGGATGGAAATTGTAATATTATCTTGTTTCTGTTACAGATGATTTGCTTGCTTTGGGATACTACAATATCAACATTAAAGAAATTCAATGCTCATCAACATTAAATACTCATAAGGACCACAAATATTTTAAATTAGAGGGAAGGTGTGAAAGTTTTGTATTGCAGAAATAAAAGATGAAAAGCAAAAGCAAACACAATTCTTTCAAGCAGCAATAAGACCTGGAAATAATGTCACTGAAGCAACTTATAAAGTTGCTTACATACTCGGAGGGAAAAAAGGGAAGCCCTTCAGTGATGTAGAAATTGTGAAAGAATGTATTGTTTCAAGTCGTAGGATGCTTAGACCGCGATAACATTTCAAAGTACCAATAACTGCCTCTTTGAAGGAGAACCATAACTGATCAGCAGCATGAATTACCCTCAACTTAACAGAACAACTTCATGCAATACTTCAAAAGGAAAACATATATTATTCAATCACTTTGGATGAATCAACTGATACTACGACTTGGCACACGTTTTACACTTTATTCAGATCAGAAGATTTTCTTTGCTACAAAGAGTTACTGCTTTGGGCACTTTTGTGAGCACAACACAGGGAATAGAGATATCTTCAACAACTTTCAAGATAAATGTGAAGTTGGACTGAATTTGGTAAATTTAGTGAGTGTATGTACAGATGATGCACCTTCCATGACAGGAAAACATGAAGGGTTCATTGCACAGATAAAGTATTAACAGATCCAGATGCTCTCATTTCTTTCCATTGTATTTTGCATCAGCAGAATATCTGTGCTAAAGCTACTATTTTAAGTGACATTTTACAACAAGTTATAAGTATTGTTAGCTATATCCCTGCAATTGTAAGACAGCATCATCACTTTCTTAACATGCTGAAGTTGAGCTATGAGGTATTCAGTGTGGATTTGCCATATCATTCTAAAGTGTGTTGCTATTGCAGGGACAGGTGTTAGCCAAAATTTTTATCTCTGCAAGAACAGATAGTTAATTTATGAAGAACATAATCAGCATGTGAATTATTGAAGGAATATTTCTATAGAGAAGCAACATTTCTATGTGCTATGTCAAATCAAAAACAATTGGAATATTTCTTGGCAAGGTAAAACTAAGTCTACATATGATATATGTCCAAAAGAAAATCTCAGCATTTTGAAAGAAGTTATCTTTGTCCAAAACACTTCTTCTAAAGGAAATTTGGATGAACATTTTCCTCAGTTAGCAAAGGTCACTGATGAGCAGGATGACATATGTGAATCATTTGAAGAACACGCAGCTGTTAGAGACCTATTAATTAAAGAATATAATGAAAGTTTCACTGACTTTGGGAATCACCACATCACACTCATATTAGCATTTAAGCCTCACGTGGTTGATCTCACCAAGCACCTAAAGAACTACAGATGGAATTGACTGAGCTCTCAGTAGATGACATTAATGGTTAATAGTAGATGACAATATTTAATTGTTTAATGCTAAGAAAGATCCAATTGAAATACAAAAAAAAATGCAATAGAATACCCACTTCTTTGGCAACATGCCAAAAAGTGATTTCTTGCTTTTCAACCACTTATTGCTGTGAATCTACATTCTCCTACCTAACCCAAATCAAGACACCCTTAGGGTCACAAATGACTAATACCCACCTACAGGATCAACTGAAACTGGGGCCTCCATGCTGCAACCAATATTCAAAATGCTTTCCAACAAAAATCAGACACAAGAAATCATTAAGATGTTTTTAATTTAAAATTAACAAATAGTTTTCATTTTTTAAATTGTTAAGTACATAATAGATTTTTACAAAATAATGTACATTTTTAATTATATCTAATTGAACTTTCATGCATGCAGCCTTATTTGATTACAGCTGAATTAATGGGCCTTCCAACATGAAAAGGTTCCCCACCCCTGAACTATACTCTTTGCCTCTCAGTCAGAAATTTTAGCAAGCACAATCATAGATGAAAAATTCCACATGAAAATTATATCCTCTTGCTTCTGCTGGAAACAGTAACTCCCAGTTATTTAGAGAAACTGGAAATGCAATGCTTGTGCTGGTGTGAAATGCAGGGCATAGAGAGGGTTGGGAATGAAACTTTGTTCTAGAAAGAAAATTGAGCAGCAGTTTCTAGAAAGAAAATCGTTATGAAAACAGAGTTATGGAGACTCACACAATTTCCGGACAAGCTTTTCAGTTCTAGTACTTAATAGCCCCACCATGGTTTCAGTATCCTAAAATAGGATTGCTAATTAATGTGGGAGTTACATTCATTTAAATCTCAGGTTTGTCATTATAATCCCCCAAAAATGCATCAATATTACTCCGTATGAATTACTATGACAACTGATTGAATCTTTAAGTTTTCTTTCACAGCTACTCATCTAGGTAGGGGTGTGTGTGTGTATGTGCATGTGTGTTTACATATAAGTCTACAGAAGTGTATGCAATTAGAAGTGTGTATGGAGAAAGTAAAGTATCCAGAAATTTAGCTTGAGAAGCAAGTGAAAACTGGTAGTTATTTATGATTTAGTAGATAATTTAAATTTCTAAATTTTAAAATTTTCAAGGAATATTTATTTTAGACCTTTGATTTGCATTGAATAATTATGACCTGGGTATTTATTATAAAATCTCTTCAGTTACAAGGTTCCATAAAGAAATAGAAGTCATGGCACAAAAGATTCACAGTGAACTGACCACTTAAAACTAAGTTCACATTTAATCCCACCTCACAGTCTCACATGAGCATCTGTCCTGGATAAACAAAGTGCTGTACATGGATACAGTATAATAGTCCTCAGTGATCAAAACAAACTACTGATACACACAAATATGGATGAATCTCAAAGGCATTATACTAAGTGAAAGAAGCAAATGTCAATGATATGTGAAAAGAAATCTGATCAATGGTTGATGGGGTGGTTAGAGAGAGACTATAAAGAGGCATGAGAGAACTTTTTGCAGTGGTGGAAATATTTTATGTCTTGATTATGGTGGTAATTACATGACTATATATATTTGGCAAAACTAGAACTGTGCTTCTTAACAAAAGGTAACTTTCTGTAATTTACACCTAAACCCGACTGAGGCAGGGGAAGAGGGAGAGAGAAAATGAGAGAAAGGAGAGGTGCAAATGAACTGTTTGAAAACCAAATGCAATGTGTGAATCTTGATCAGAGTCCAGTTCAAAACAAAGTAGCTATAAACTAGCATTAGGCAACAAGTGGAAAATGAAAATATAATTATCAGATGACATTAGGGAATTGTAAAAGTTTCTTAGGCATTATAATGTCACTATCTTATAATAGATTTTCCTTACTGTTAGGAATTACATGTTAAAGTATTAGGGATAAAATGTCTTGTGGTATTTGTAACTGCTTTGAAATGATTAATCAAAAAGAAATTGAGATAGTTAAATAAGTATGAC